GTACCCTGCAGTACTACACGTACCCTGCAGTACCACACGTACCCTGCAGTACTATTGGTGCAACACAGTGAGGTACATATGGTTTTCCAGCTGTTCGTTAACCTGAGTGACAGTGGACAGGAACTGTTACCCCCACCCACCTGTGCTGTGCTGAAGTTAAAACAAACAAACCCACTCAGCCTCTCTCTCTTCCTTCATCAGGTCACATTTCATTTATTCTCAGGCTGCCGTGACCTCTGACCTCTGTACAGTCTGATAACAAACCTCCGGCAGCACGCTAACGTCCCCCCCCCACCTTCATTGTGTGAGTCACTGTGTGTTTACAGGTTCGAGGATGTGGGAGTTGGCTCTGGGGGGGTAGTGCGGCTCGCTTCCCCGGAGGCGGGAGGCGGGAGGGTGGAGGTGGAGGAGGAGGTGGAGGTGGTGGAACCATCTCCTGACCTGAGCTGGAGGTTTATCAAGGTTGAGTGTCGCTCTGCACTGTTTCCTCACTTTGTTAAAGAGGCGACGAGTCAGAGCGCCCTGACTGTGTGTGTGTGTGTGTGTGTGTGTGTGTGTGTGTGTGGGGGGGGGGGACCACAACTTTGGTTCTGACTGAAATATTGTAAAGTATTTTCAGTTTGACTTCCTGTTTCGGTTCTGCTGCGTCGGCCTGAAGAACCTCTCACGCCTGATGTTTACGTTCAGAACGTTTCCTCAGACTCGTCGTTTGATTCAGACGATCTGGTGTCGACCTCTCAGAGTCAGTCTGACATCATCGCTGAGTCTCAATCACAGAACAACACGAGGAACGAGCTGCAGCTGTCGGTTCTACTCTCACTTTAGGTCTAGTTCCTGAAACCTGTAAGAGAGGGGGCGTCGTACCTGGAGCTCGGAGCTCCACCCTCTCTGCTTCAGATTCTCCGGTCGGACCCGAGCCTCCAGAATCCAGAGGATGAGGGACTGTCGGAGACAAACACAACGAGACGAGAATTTATTTATCTGTATGAGCATGTTTCACACATGAGGAGAAATCTGGAGCACTTTGCATCATGCTAAATGAAATCTAAATAATTCAAGAGAGAAGGAGAGGAACTGAAGATGAGGGTTCATGAGGGTTCAGATGATGCAGAGCGGAACATTTCTAAAACTTCTCCACGGTTTCTCTGGGAAAGTCAACAACTCAGATGAGTCTGATTGATTCACAATCATCTGTGAAGCAGACGTGTTCCTGCCGTGTTCCTGACATGTTCCTCACGTGTTCCTGCCGTGTTCCTGACGTGTTCCTGACATGTTCTGCAGGTTCTGTATGTGAGAACAAACGTCTGTGTCTCTGGACAGTTTCTGGATCTTCTCCTGCAGCTTCTAGTAAAACGTCGAGTGAGTCCATGTGAGAAAACATCTGGAAACTTCTCAAACTTTCTTTGAACGATTCTTAATTTCTGAACAAAGAAAAAGAAAAGACTGCGAAGAGGAGAGGACGACCTCCTGCAGAATCTGCCCTCCCACACACACACACACACACACACA